GGGCTATTTTTAAGCAGTAAAGAGGGTGGGATGGTGGCAGACTGGACCCAGCCGGAGACTCGAACTCTGTTCGGGCCCCTGCTGCTGTCAGGCCACTCCCACCGGACCTGTCCCTGCTCCTCCAGGAGCCCCCGCTTCCCCAGAGAGAGGAGGAGCCATTACCCTAGAATAATCTCTAACCCTTGGATGTCCTCCTCTGCTCCGTGTCCAGGCAGAAAAGGAGGAGGGAGATTGTAGCCTGTCCTCTCCAGGCTCAAGATTTGATAAGTTCTGTTATTTAAGGCGTGCTTCGCACTGGGGTAGGCACTCCAGTGGGGACCACAGGGGAAGATAAGGTCCAGTTCTCGCCCCCAGAGTGTTTCTACTCTAACAGGGAAATAAGGAGACGAGAGAAAGGACAGACAGGCCAGAGCATTCAGGAGCCCAGCAGTCCCGGCTGCATCCACTACTGCTGACTGTCCTGCACACCTTATAGATCGTTAGCTCTCACACGTCCAGCAATCTAACAGGGTACGTCCTACCGCCGCCCTCATTTGACAGCAGAGGAAACTGAGTCACAGAGAGTGTAAGTAACTCAGCTGAGGCCACACAGCAGGAACCCAGCAGAGACAGGATATGAACTCAAGCAATTTGGCTTCAGAGTTCATGCTCTTAACTACACTCTGTGATCGCTCTGAAGGCAAGGCAGGGATGGGAGGGGAGAGATAAGAGGGAGCTGGAGTTTTCAGGAAGGCTTCATGGAGGAGGCATCTTGAGGGTGGTAGGCAGAACTGTGAAGAGAAGACTGGATGGCGTCCTTGACGGGGGAGCCGAGAACAAAGGCAGGCATCAGCGGGCAGGTGGGTTTGAGGACTCAGAGGAGGTGGCTTGGCTGACAGGGACGTGGGCAGTGATGGAAAAGTCCCCTCCAGGGTGACGGCTCATTCAAGCCACAGCAGTGGAAAGCCTGGCTTTTGGCTCTGGAGAGGAATGTAGCACCACTCTCCACCCCTGGAGAACCGCTCAGGGCTGAGTTCACCTTGGCTATCTCCAGCCTCTTCCTCACCCCTGGCACCTGCAAGACCCAGGACAGCTCCCTGTCTGGGGACAGCTGTGCCTCAAATGAGTTTCTGCCTTTCTGTGTCTCTTCCCGTTCCACCCAGGAGACTGTCAGCTTAAGTCCCTGCAGACAGCATCCCGGGTGGCAGGTCTTCCACTCCGGGTTGGAAGATGAGGCAGGCACTAGGGGTTGGCGGGAGCGCTGTCCTGCTGTGAATCCCAGGGCGCAGAATTTGGACCTCACTTTGCAGGCAAAGCTGCTGTCTTCAGCCCAAGATACATAATATCCCGGGGAGAAGGCATCGGATGTTCAAAGATCTCTTTGTCCCAACAGAGGTTGTCTATCCATGGGACGGGGGAGGGGGTGCAGCCAGAGGCACCTCACAGCAAGAGCTTGTGGACCAGGGGCAAAGAGGCACTGAGGTCCCTTGAGGCCACGAGCTCCCAAGGCCATGTCTGCTCCATCCCTGGATCCCCAGGCTGGCACACAGCAGACATCAGTTCATGTTGGCTGAACTGAAGTGAACAAGCCAGGGCAGCGCTGCCCAGCCTGGCCCCTTTCTTGGCACAAGCCGTGGCTGGCACACGTGGCCCGTCTCCTAGGTACTGGGTACCAGGATGTGCTCATGGGGACCTCTCCCCAGATCGCTGCGCAGGCATGGAGCATCTCATGGGAGGTTCTTCCACTGGGCATGGTGGCATCCTCTGGGTCAGGGAGCGGGAGGAGGAAGGCTGGGATTCCAGGGAAGTCAGGGGCACCTGAGCTCAGCGCCTTTCAGCTCCTGTCTTGCTTGGGGAGGCTGCTTATCTTGACTCAATCCTGCCCAGGGGAGCCAGCACAAAACTCAGGATCGTGGGCTTTTGCTGGGAGTTGCGCCTTGAAATTCTAAGTGACTCCTTCTCTCTCTGTGTCCCTCAGGCTCATACCTCGACACCTAACCCTTGAACTCCACACACTCTGCCACGCACACGAGAGGAGAGCTGGAGCAGAGGCCCCGGAAGCGGCACACACGTCCCTCTAGGCTAACGGCATGACCTCTGTAAGGGACTTCCTTTAGTCACCTATTCGCATGAACGGCTGACTGTAGACGCATGACCTACAGTCCTCAATCCTGCCTCTGGTGACAGTGGATCTGTGGGAAACTGGGAATCGGGCGGAAAGCAGCAAGAGGAGGGTGGGGAGAGAGAGAGAGGAGGACAACAAAACAGACGCAGGAGAGTAGAATGACAACAAGTAAACCGAAGGGTCTTCTTTTGGTGGCGTGGGATGGAAGTTAATTTTTTAAAAATCTATTTACTAATTTCAACTTGTTACGTAGGGTTTACTTTT